TTCCTGGGTTAGGATTCATTTCCATCCAGAATTAGGCTTTTTTGAGGCTTTTTTAAGGCAGGGAAAGAATGTAAGCTCTTATTTCATATTTCAAACTGCACAAACTAGATTTGAGTTCTTGATTTTTGTCCCTCAGTTTCTGCACATGTGGAGATTCCTCCAAAATGTCTATTTTCCAAGGGAAAAATCAGCTTAGCTTCAGTCATATTCAAGCGTTAAGAGGAGTGTATCTCAATTTTGGCAATTTTAAGACGCGTGGACTTTAATTCCCAGAATTTCCCAGACAGCCACGCTGGCTGGGGAATTTTGGAAGTTGAAATCCATTCATCTTAAACTTGCCAAGGTATTAGCTATGTTCGCTGCCTTGAGGTACTTATAAAATTAATAAATGTGGGCTATTAAATAAATACATGAGCACATTGCCAAATGAACTGGGATTAGCCAACAACCAGCCAAGTAACCAAGGTTACCACTGATCACAAGTTAACTGACCAATGCAACTATTGTGTCTTGCACTGACTCAATTCAGTGGTAGGGCAAACCCATTGCATCCCAAAAGCGAGATGGGGCAATGTGGATAGAAAGCTGTCGTCATTTGCCTTCAGGGATGGTGTTTTAGCACAATGTGCAAAAGTTCTCCATGTGCACGAGATGGTCCAGCAAATAAAAACATCCCCAAATCCCTCCCTGCTCTGCTTTTAACTCAAGGGCGGAGAACCATGGATTTCAACTCCCAGAATTCCTGACCAAAAGCATAGCTGGCTCAGGAACTCACATCATTCCAAATCAACACATCCCTGGAAGGCATTCCAGGCCGCCCACCTGCAAAACGCAATAGGTTAGCAAGAGATGAACCTGGTCAGTTAGGAGAACCAGTGAAGCTCCATTTTTGCCACCTACCCCACTATGAAGGGAAAGAAGCACGGCGACTGTCCACAGATTCTTTTTTTTATTTCTCCCAAAAAAAATATTGAAACAGATGTCACTGCAAACATGGATAACAGTCCCCAACAAGCACAGAGAACACTGCTGGGGGCCCTTGAGGGGGCGTGCCGAGAAGGCAAGGGTGTTTCACTTGTAGGCCAGGCCTCTTTCCCCCCCTCCCCTCCTCTAAGCAGCATGGAAAAGAAAAAAAAGAACAACATTCCTGCACATCGTAAGGCAGGCAGGCCGTCCCTCTGGGTCTTTCTGCAACTCCATCCGTGCGCCCAAGACTTGCTTTTCGGCGTCCTTTGTGCCCGAAGGGAAGAGAGGCGATGCTCTCTGCGCCAGGCAAGGCTGCAGAGGCGAGGTGGCAATGCAGGGCGACAATCAGAGGACAAATGGAAGGCACACCCAGGTCCAGGGACCAAGACCAGGGAGATAGGAAGAGAAGAGTGGGGGAGGTCCATGAAACCCTGGCAAGCAACTGTCCAGCCAATCCAATGTGCCAACCTGGGTGCTTGTCAGTGGATGAGTGAGAATTTCATGGCAATACAGCAGCTCTAGGGAAAATTTTCACCTTCCTGTTTCTATGTTAGGTCCTGCAAGCTGTTCTCTTCTGCCATTGGTAGAGCATGGGCTCACTGGGGTGGGGGGGAGAGATCTGTGACACGTAGCCACAGGGGACAATTTTAAAATTTCTTAAGTGATCAACTGGAGAGCGATGCTGTTTGCCTGAGGAAAGGAAACTCCACCACTTGGCGATCTTTATTGGTAGGAAGATTTTTTTTTTGTCCTAATTCTGAGGACTTAACAAAAGGGGGGGGGGTCTATGGGTCGATGAATTTTGCATAGAATAGTGGCTGGAGGGAGGCTATGAAACTGGCCTTCCCAACCTTGGAGATCCATCAAGTGCATTGGAACCTCGCCTTCCGATTTTCTCAGCCGGCATTGCCCGGGCTGGAGGGTGCTAGTCGGGGGGGAAGTTTTGCCCAAAGAATGCAAAATCCAAAACAGAATTGGTGATAACAGCGCTGCCATGTTTGGCGTGGATTGGGGGGGGGATTTTAAAGCAAAGTGGGGGGGAGGATGGCATTGATCGCTGCTCCCTGGGTCGAGAGGGATCTAGCTCAGGTTTCCTATGAGAACCTCTTAGCAAGCATCGGGGATGATCACGGACGATCCCCCACTTATTCTGGAGCGCCTAAGAGATTCGAACTTTTAGGAAGCGGGAGGCAACTTTGGCGGGCGGGCAGCCCAGTCTCAAGACATTGGGGTATCATCCTCCCCAATGTTTTTGCCCTCCTGCCTCCATACCTTGTTGCCTCCAGGATACGGCAAGCCGTAGAAATATGTGCGAAGAGCACCAGGCACATTGCAAGCTCAGCATTCTTGGCCCGGCTTCATTTCCCACCGAAGGAGGCGCACTTCCTAAACTACAGACGCACAAGCAGTGCTTAAGCTCCGGGGACGAACGGCACAGCGTTGCGCATCCTCGGTTCGATTTTTAGAGGGTGTGTGTGCGTGCACATGAAGTGTGTATACAGACGGGACTTTGAAAGGGGGAGGGGGATTGTTCGGATGTTTAGAAGAGGCTTTTCTTGGGTTTGCGCGGGGCCGAAGTGGCGCATAGACTGTTTCCTTTTTTTTTTTATTCCAACAAGATTTTGCCTGCAGAGAGGGAGGAGAGAGAATCTTAACAGCCTTGGAGCAGAGATGACGGAAAAGGAGGAGGAGGAGGAAGAGAGTGAGCAAAGGTAGTAGAATCGACTCTGGAAGCCTGAATTTTGTACCTGTGGAACTTCCAAGGGTGTCGCTTCTACCAGAACCCACAAAAAGGCCAACGTCGTTAAAAACGCCAGTCTGGGATCAGCCCCATGCCACCTCTCTTTCTGTGGCCTGTTAGCCCAGACCCACGGACACCGCACCGCCCCCCCCCAATCCCCACTAGATGTCCAGCATCTGACAATCTGCTGCCCCATTCCTGGGGAGGTCTTTCCCCACCCTTTTGCACCTCCATAACCGTCTTTGCCACTGTGGTCACCCTCCTGTTTCAACCAAGACGATGGTTTTGGTTTCTCTTTGTTACGGGGAAGGAAGGGGGCCTGGAACGGAAGGCATTCCTTGTAAACGTCAGAGATGCTTCATGCAATCTGCAGGAATTTTAAGAAAAGAGCGACGGCCACTTTGGTTACACCCCCAACCTGGCTCCCCTTGCCGAACTCAAGCCCCTCGCCACACCCCATATCACTGCTCAGGCCTGTACAGATTTTGCCAACAGCAGCAGAGCCCCCCTGCCCCTCTCCCACCAAGGACTCCTATTTATTCTTCTTGAAAAAACTGAAACGTTTCTCCCGGTCCTTCTCCTTCGCCTCTTTGCTACGCAGGGTGACAGTTCCTTCCGAGGCGCTGTGCGGGGGCCCGGCTGGCATCGTCATGGCTCGTGTCATGCCTTTGCTGATGAGTGCAGGCTGGTCTTCCGCGGGGTCTTGGGGGGTGAGGGCGGACGCAGCAGCAGCATTGATCACTCGCATCCAAGTACTCATCTCCGCCTGGAAAGGAGGGAATAAAAAGGGGACCATGTAGAACAAAATAATATTTCCCGCCAATCATCCACACCCCAACCAAGAGCAGGATAGAACCGGAAGACAGAGTAGAAGGTCTTTTAGAATCTCAACCTTAGCAGCTTTAAGATGGGAGGACTTCAACTCCCAGAATCTCCCAGCCGCATGCTTTAAGATAGGTGGACTTCAACTCCCAGAACTCCCCAGCCAACATGCTTTAAGAGGGGTGGATTTCAACTCCCAGAATCCCCCAGCCCCATGTTTTAAGATGCATGGACTTCAACTCCCAGAACTACCCAGTCAGCATGCTTTAAGATAGGTGGACTTCAACTCCCAGAACTCCCCAGCCAACATGCTTTAAGAGGGGTGGATTTCAACTCCCAGAATCCCCCCCCCCCATTTTTTTTAGTTGT